AAAAAAAATAATGATCAGTAGATGACCGAGGCTGATCTGAGACATCTGTGCGACTGCCGCAGCTCAGTGAGTCAGTGCTCTTTACTATTATTTACTATTAGTATTGCTTTTGTCAACTGGTCAAGTTGCTATGCCAATAGTTTTCTTTGCTAGAAAGATGTGTCTGTAAAAAAGTTGGACTTACCTGTGATTGTATTTCTTTTTGGGGGGAATATGTACCTCTAAAACTAAGTTGCAGATTGGCAACTGCAGTTAAACAATACAGTATGGCCAACAGCCTATCCAGCCTGTTGAGTGTACAGTGAAGACACATGAGCATTGCTGAGGTTACCTTCTACCAGTAAACATGTTCAGTATAGGGGGATTGACAGCAACCAACAGTACAGCTGGATTTAATAAATTTTTAGATACTTTATTTTCTGTTACTTTAACAGGAGGAAATTATGTTTACATGTCTGCCTGGAGTTCAGCTTTTAAGCATAAATCAATTAATACATCAGTAACATCATATGTGACAAATTACACAGTGACATGTTCCTTTTTTGCCTCTGAATTATTGATATGTGCTTATTACGAGTTTATATAACAAACCACCAGAGATCAAACATTCCAGACATGATTCAAGGCTTTCTCATTGATATGATCCAACATGATTTGTTACCACATTGTAAATATTTGAACTGTTGCTTAGAAATGAAATGCAAGTACAGGCATGTTTTAAAAGATTTATATGTATCTCTGTTTTCAAAATTGTTATCTCTAATGGGTTGACTGGTACCTGGAAGCTGTCCCAAGTGCAGTGATCCATGCCTGGAATATGCCACCGTAGAAATTAAAGGGATTTTCCCTGGTGATGGAGAAAAATATGAGCGGCAGGATCATGCCGCCATGAATCACTAAGCCAACAATCACTGTAACCATGTACATGCCAAGCTGCCGGGCAACGGTCTCTAGATCCTTGATGGCAGCGATTTTCCCACATATAAGAGAGGCAATCCCAAGAGGAGAGTACCTAAACAAAACAGGCACATTATATAGTGAGCACAAAAAAAGAGAGCACACAAGAGAGCTGAACAAATATTAAACAAGACCAATGCATGTAAAAGGACACTAATAGCCAAAGATAGAAGAGACTGTAGTATGAAGTGCGTTAAACACATTCATAGTGCCTCTTTCTACTTTCATCAGTAAGTGAAGTAAATTCTGTTATCAGCCAGATTTTATATTTCAAGCAATGCGAAGAAGATGATGAAAAATGAATGTAAAACTGTATGTAAAGCAATACAACTGACATAATATAAAAAAATGCAGGCACCAAAAGTAGAGGTGCTCAATATGCAAAATCTGTCTTCCACCCTAAGGCAGGGTCCACACGTAGGCGGCAAAGTTTTTGCACGTTTGTACGCGGCTGTTCAGCGTGCAGTTATTTGCGCGTTGTGCACATTTTTTATGCGCGTTTGTATGCGCGTACATGAAGACGTGCATTTTGACTGGCAGTTTATGAAACATTGCAGGCAATGAACGAGCGTGCATTTAAATGCACAAAAACGCGCATGAAAAATGTGCAACATTTTCCGGCATTTACATTTAAGTCAATGGAGTCTTTTAACTGCCCAAAGAAGCTCATGTACCTTTTCAAGCGTTTAGCGTTTTTCTGCTCAGGTGTGAATGGGGACCATTGAAAATCATGGGATTTCTTGTGTTGGGCATTTAAAAGCACTTTTCCAACTGCTCAAAACTGCCTAGGTGTGAACCTGGCCTATGAATGGAACTCTAGCACACTCCCCTGCAGTGTGTGAGCCAGAACAAGCATACAGCAAAATAAGTGAAGTCATATCTATTCTGGCTCAGAAAGTATTGATAATATGGGATCAGCCAGGCAACTAAGAAGAAGTGGTCAGCAATGGAACCAACATCTTTAAAAGGTAGTTGTCCAGAAGATAGTTAAAAATAGTTCTCTGCTACTGTCACAGAATGACACACAGCTCTCCTCTGCTTTGTCGATGTTCTTTAACAGTTCTCTGCTACTTTTGTTACATTTGGGATGCTCCCGAATGTCAACAAAGAGGCAGAGAACTGTCACAGAATAACACACAGCTCCCACTCCTTTGTTCCATTTCCAATGACATTATGGAAACATTTTGGATGCATCCAAATTTCGTGATCAAAAACAATTGGATTTGTTTGGATTCGTTATGTATGTCATTCGGAAATTCTGATGCATCCGAATGTTGGAATATGTAGAAATTTGTACGAGTGTCAATTCGGAATGAAACGGATCGCACATGTCTACAGAGCAAACACTGGAACCTCTGTGGGAATGGATTCACTTCTAATCTATAGAGAGAGAGAGAGAGAAGCTTGACCTTCCATACAGGGAATCATCAGCAAAAAACACCAGGATGTATTATTACTATTTCTGAGTATTCCAGCACTCTTCTTATTCTGTTCTATTATTCTAAATAAATGTTCAAAAAAGGCATCCAAGGACTCTGATCTGTTTAATCACTGCAAGAGAACCCGGAACTGTGAGTAACATGACTGTGGGCAAGGTCATTCTAATCTGGGGGTCCCACTTGTAATCCACAAGGCCCAGCTGAGCGGATGCACTACCATTGTAGATATATTCCAGTCCCATGTAGAGGCTCAAGAGTTCCTAGTTACCTACAGGTTGGCAGCGATAGCTGATTGGAAAGGGTCATCTCCCTTGACCCACCTGTGACAGACTCCAGTACTCAGGATGAGTATGCCCGCCGCTGTATTCTTCCTTGCTCAGGCTATATTGCAACCCGCTGATCTTTAGCCAAGTGTAGGGTGAAACAAACTCTGATTTATTGAGAAACTGTGCAACCTTTTATTCAGAAAGTGATCAGATCGATCAGATTATAATCCCATCACATCCACCCTGCCCTCCCCAGACATTCTGACTGTGCAACCCAGCAGGGGTCCAGCTGCTAAAGAGCCCCAGACAACCAAAGCAGGAGTGTGGTCAGATGCAGGAGAACGTCATTGGCCTGAGCTCCTTGGAGTACAAAGGGAGCTAACGATGGGGTGGTGCTGACAGTCTTTTGATAAACAGTTTACACAGTATAACACACTTAAACATAACCCAACACCAATACACATATAAACCGATGACCATGTCGTTACATAGCTTCCGCAAGATAAAGTATGGCAGACCTGGTGAGACCCTCTATGGGTCCACTTGGGGATGTCCATGATGTTAGTCACCCTTCCAGTTCTGTTTGGCGAGATAATCCATCGGCATTAGCATTGTGTTTCCCTGGCCGGTATTGGATTGTGAAATTGAACGGCTGTAGGGCAAGGCTCCACCGCAACAGCAGTCCCCTGTCCCCAGACACCCGGGTCAACCAAACAAGGGGGTTATGATCCATGAGGATGGTAAATGATCACCCATACAGGTAGGGTTGTAGCTTCCGGAGGGCCCATACCAGGGATAAACATTATTTCTGCACTGCCTCGTAAGCTACTTCCCTGGGTAAGAGTTTGCGGCTGATGTATGCAACCGGATGGTCATGCCCATCATCTCTGACTTGGCTCAGCACTGCTCCAAGCTCGAACATGGAGGCATCTGTGTGTATAACAAAACGTTTGGTAGGGTCCGGAATGGCTAGTACAAGGGCCTGAACAAGTGCTTGTTTAAGCTGTTGGAACGCTGCCTCACACTCCGGGGACCACAGGATCTGTCGGAGAAGACTCTTACGAGTCAGGTCAGTCAGGGGTTTGGCGATGGTGCTGTAATTGGGGACAAACCGCCTATAGTATCCTGGTTTACCCAGGAAAGCTAGAACTTAAGTCTTAGTACGGGGGATGGGCCAGTTGGCTACGGCTTCCACTGTGGCTGGTTTGGGTCGCTGCCTCCAACACCCTGGGTACAATGACCTGGGTACTGGACCTCAGACATTCCTACATGACATTTGTCAGGTTTAACAGTCAGTCCTGCCTCTCTAATACGGTCCAGTACAATCCCAATGTGCTGTAAGTGCTCTTTCCGTGCGTCACTATAAATGGCTATGTCATCTACATCAGTGGTCCCCAACCCCCGGGCCCGCGGACCGGTACCGGTCCGTGGATCAAATGGTACCGGGCCGCCCAAGGAACATTAAATTATTTCCATTTTATTTACTGTGGTGTATTTCTCTCGGGTTTGTCCGACTTTCCAGGACGAGAGGTTAACCCGGGAGCTGAGAGACGTCACCTAAAGCCGCACCAATACCGCGCATGCGCAAAATATCGTGATATCGGGGCGGTTTTAGGTGACGCCTGAAGCTGAGCGGCTGCAAGCGGCAGTGGCGTTGTAGCTTTGGTAAAGAGAAGGTGTGTATCGCTCTTCTCTCTGTTCACCGGTACTTTCTCATGTTTAACAGTGCTTGGTGTACGTGTATATTGTGTTTGCCCAAATTTAACCCACAAATTAGCAAAAATGAGTACGAAACAGACGTTGTTAGAAAGTTTCCTTGGGAAAAAGAAAAGGCCCAGTGAAGAGACAGAGGAAGGGCCTTCAACATCAAAGAAACATGTAACTTTTAAACAGACAATACCATGAGTCCTACTTGAAATATGGATTTATCGGGACAGGTGATTCCAATCTAAAATATAAACAATCAACGTCCCCCCCTCAGCGGGCCGCGGTAAAATAATCAAATGCTGACCGGTCCGCGGCGATAAAAAGGTTGGGGAGCACTAATCTAGATAAGCGCAGGTAAATTCCTGCCGCCATCTAGTAACCTATCCACCATCCGCTGGAATGTGGCCGGAGCATTTTTCATCCCAAATGGCATGACCCTAAATTGGAACAGGCCAAATGGGGTGACAAATGCAGACTTCGGAACAGCGTCCGCAGCTAAGGGGATCTGCCAATACCCTTTACACAAATCTATAGTGGTGAGGAAGTTGCCCTGGGCAATTCTGTCTAGGAGCTCGTCCACCCGGGGCATGGTCAGTTACCGTCCTGTCATTCAGTCGCCTATAGTCCACACAAAATCTGGTAGTGCCATCCTTCTTGGGTACTAGAATCACTGGGGAGGCCCAGGGGTTATCTGATGGTTCTATGACCCCGAGATTGAACAGATCCCGGATCTCCTTCTGCATTCCTTTCTTGACTGCATCAGGTATCCGATATGCGGTCTGCCTCAACGGGGCTTAATCCTGCATATCGACCCGGTGCTTTGCTACAGTAGTATAGCCGGGCAGGGATGAGAACATGTCCCGGCGCTCCTGGAGCAACCTCTGGGCTTGTATAAAAGGGAGCTAACGAGGGGTGGTGCTGACAGTCTTTTGATAAACAGGTTACACACAATAACACACTTAAACATAACCCAACACCAATACACATATAACCCATAAACTGATGACCATGTCGTCACACCGCCCCTCAAAACAGGGCTACATGTAGTGCTACCCACAGTAAAAATGGCAATACTAATAAGTAGGAACAAACCATCACACTAATATTAATGTACAGTGTGAAACACATGAATATTTTGTGTGCAGAAAGACAGGTCATGTATTCCTTTTGCTGCCAGAGCCTTTTTTTTTTAAATGTTTCCACACTTCCAGTTTTTCCAGCAATTTGTTTAGTGCACACAAACTCTGCATTAAGTGAAAAATTCCAAATATGTCAAGCCTAATATGTGTGATGCAATCATTGTTTTTGTGTGCTTTAATTAAAAAAAAAATGAACTCAACTTTATTGAGGGGGAGGGGCTGCTGAAAACCACCTATGTGAGAGTATATTGCAGGTGACCGGTTCTCTTTACAGAGGGGCTTTTTAGACCCCTGCACTCTGTTGAAGCTGACTGAGCAGAGATTGTGATAGTTCTGACCAGGGGCTTAAGTAGAAATCACAGGGCCCCAAAGCAAAATCTTGTATTCCCTCCCAAACCGCCCCCCCACCCAAAAAAAAGGACCTACCTACAGAACATGTTCCCTGCCAGTGCCACCTCCTTCTCTTCAGCTCTGCTCCAGATGGCTCTGAGCCAAAGAACAGAT